ATGGAAACGTAAGGGGGTTATAATGACATGAAAAAAAAATGGTGTAATTGTTTTAAATAGTAACAAAAAGTTACAGTTTTGTTTGTAAGAGAAACAAAATATGTTAAGGTGGGTGGGGTCGTGCTGGGGAGACTTATCATGTATCATCCATTTCCCAGTACATCAAAATAGTTACATTTCTCTAAAATAACCTACATTCATTGTATTATTTTCTTCAAAGTCAGACTGCTCAGTTCAAGTCTCTATTTTACAGTCTATATATAATCTGCTGGCTCTTATAGCTGCTGGAAACATCATAATCCTGCTTGTGCTATACTGCAGCGCAGACATACGCAGTTCAACAAGAGTTCAGGAGAAGACAGGAATGGGGGGGCCTTTTTTGTTTGGTACTGTGATTTTACTCTGTTGTTAATTTTGTATCATTAGAGCAAATTTTGGCTGAGTCCCTCCTGTAGGGAGCACATCTACCAGTTGATACCAAACTGTTTTTTTCGGTAACCCCACCCTATGTGAGGCCGAGTGTGTAGAGTGACAAATTATGTGTATGTGTGTTCATGTGTGCTTATATGAGTACATCTTTGTGTTTCTGCGGCTCTGTGTGTGTGTATGTAACTATGTGAATTAAACACATTTTCTTATCTGTTTTCTGTGTATTTCTGTGTGTGAAGGGGTGAAGAGGTTTACAATATGTGTGTGTATGTCTGCAGAAGTGAGAGAGAAAGAGAGAGAGAGAGGGAGATAGGAGAAGCATGACCTACATTTGGCAAAGCTCATCGTATGAGCATGAAACTGCCTAACATCACCCCAGAGCTCCGCAGCACACAGCCCTGCGATTGGCTGCTCTCAGCTCCAGCCTGACAACAGCACTGGCATCACCCAGGGGGAGGGGGAGGGAAGAGAGAGAGAGAGAGAGGGGAGAGAGGAAGACATGGGGAGGCGGCACATACACTAAATCCAGAAGAAGAAAAGATGCAAATAGATGATTGGATGAAGGGAGAAAATAGATGGAGAGTGAATCAAAGGATCCAATTAGAGACAGTATTGCTCATGGAGGTGTGTGAGTGTGTGTGTGCACGTGAGTATCTCACATTTAGGGGACAACAATATTTTACACGGTAACATAATGTTTGTCCCTCCATCTGTTTAGGGACAAAATGCTGTTTAAGATTTGTTTTTAGATGTTTCTGGGGATGGCAATGTCGACGGTTTGTCAGTTCACCCCTTTCGTCCACAATGAAAGCTTTGCCATGAAATGTTTTACAGACATTAATGCTCTCCAGAGGAGGAATCTTGTTTTGATTGAATTGTTTCAACAACCAATGTTCCTGAGCTTTCACTCTGCAAAAACAATTCTCTACCAATCAGGTTGTGCAGAACAGGTTAAGTTGTGCCTATATAGAATATTGTAAAAAAACAACAGCATGGAGGCTCAACACTTCAATAGAAATTGCAAACTCAATTTCTAATAATTTCTACCCTGACAAAGGCAGTGCAAATCAGTAGGGCTCAAACATAAGGATTGCCCAGCCTGGGTCAAGTAAGATGCCAAATCGGATAGTGCATTACATCTAGCAACTCACTTGGTGCCAATCATTATCTGACAATAACCAATAAAAGTGTGCGATCAGTCGCTGCACCTCTATAAGGCCACATTGGTAACAACAAATCTGTGTTGAAATCGGCAGATTAAAACCTAGTAAGTGCTTTATCACTTCTTCCTAATTTCAGTTGAACGTTGCACATGCACAGTACCAGGCAATGATAACAGCTAATAAAAACCTTGAAAAAGACCATTTGTATCAATGCAAGTAAAAATGTATGTTGCCAAGTAAATATCTAACCAATATGCTTAACCAGGCAAATAAAAATAAAAATATTTTAACCCTAACCAGAGGCACTCTTGCTAGGGATGTTCCGATCACCTTTTTTTGCTCCCGATCCGATTCCGATCATTTGATTTTGACAATTTGCCGATACCGATTTTTCCCGATCCGATCTTTATGCAAAGCATTAAGAGAAAAAAAAGAAAAAAAGCATTCAAGTTGTCCCTTAAGGTTATTTTTTTATTTAAATTGGATATTCTATCCAACATGGATATAGCTTCTTTCTTTCACAGCAGCATTGGATCAGTTCAGTTGTGCAGCATTGGATCAAAACAAACTAAAGCTTTCAGTACTCGTTAGCTTACTGCTACAATTAGACACTGCGCCCTGAGACTCTGTTGCCAGATTTGAGAGAAATAAGCAACCAGGTCTATGAAAACAAGCCCCAAAGAAGCAACACATACATGATGTTGTGTAATTTGAAACCAAAACTAAGGCCTCAGGATGACTTTAAGACTTGAACATGGTCATTTTTGTTTTGTAACATTGAATACAAAAGAAAAAAAAAGTATTTAAAAAAAGAAGAAAAAAATCCCGATCCCCGATTTTTTTCTCCCGAATCCGATCTTTTGAAAATCACGTGATCGGGGATCGGAGCCGATCACGTCATTTTCAAA